ATGCAGGGAACTGTGTGCGTATTCCACAATCATCTATTTGCCTAAGACACTACCAGTAAAGTGCATTTACGCAGTATTTTTGTGGCCTGCAAGCCTTTCTATCAAGAAAACGCCAGTGCTACTGGCGAAAGTGGGTTTTTTCTAGCTGGCCTTGATCCCACGACCTAAGCCTTTTTGATGTCCTATTAAGCACTGGTCTGTTCTATCAACTAAACCATTTTGCAACATTTATGAGCCTCTTTACTTACGTGGAATTTTTTTCTTCAGTTGAGACATGTCTATCGGCTGACACAGCAAGTGCGATCGAAGCTCCGGAATCTTCCCCGATGAGTGTAAGATCCTTCGCAGCGCCCCCGAACATTCTCGCGTTATCATGGAGCCACTGTAAAGCCTTCCGCACGTCTTCTACAGCGTGATTTGGTCCATAGTCCTGTGTTCCAAAGTCCCCAAAACCAAATATTCCCAAGCGATAATGGATCACAACATATAGCACACCCAAATCCGATGCAAGTTGAGGTGAAATCAGCTTTGGTTGATGGTATAACATGCCACGACCTCCTATGTAAGCTACAACAGGAATTGGTGGTTTATGACAATTTCCACATTCCATTCCGGAAAAGTTGGCTGCAGCACTTAACTGGAAGTGAAAGCTCAGTGTAAGGCAGTTCATAACTGTGGCCGTCCTTGCAGCCTTGCCCTGGCCCAGTTGAAGGCAGTTGGCGCTTGCGGTGTGCCCAAAAAATCGCAATTGACCATGAACAAATTTGCGTTTTGACGGATGAACACCTAGCCAGAAGGCATTGTAGCATTCCTGAAAGGTGGCGATGTGGACGGGCATAGCAAAATAGGCTCGTTTTCTCGGAAGGGCAGCATAGGGAAGGAACTCTATAGTGTACCAGTCTTGTACACCAGAATATTCTGGATAGATGGCAACGCAATCAGTCAGGAAGTGTAAGGCGTCCTCCTCATAGTTGTCCTGTGTCGTAGGTAATGTGTGCCTCTGGATCCAGGAATGCCTGTAAACATTGTAAAAAAGGCACACAAAGAGGAGAATTATGTGCATAAAATTAATTCCGACTAAAAAGTACAAAAGGATGGTCAGAAATCGTGTGCGCTTTCGATTTCGTTCCGTCCACTGCCGCTGCCATTCATTCGCTGTCGGGATTAGCATCTGATATGACAGGTAAGGTTTTTTTCTTAGCTCGGAAATGCCAGATTCTTCAGTGGTAATTTCATTTCCTTTTTCTGTGGATTTGACATCGGTTGGCTTTTTATAACCAGACCTAGAAGTCTGTGATGTGATCATTTTTTGGTTGTATTAAACAATCAATGTTTTGAACCATCTGAAGCGACTCTAGTTCAGTTGAGAAATCAATTCTCGCATAAATTTTGAATTGATACAGGCGGAAAGTGGTTATTTCGTTTAACTGTAAACATTGGCTTCATGATCCTTACAAACAAATAAGAATACAAGTAACAGGGGTATGAAGACCATCTTTTTTAATGTACTGGATTCGTTTGCTTCGTACGTGCTTATGCACTTGGCAGCCATTCTGAATTTGTACCTTAATATGAAAGTTCGGAGTATGCAACTAAAATTTGCCTCAGTCGGACAGAAGAAAATCTTCCATTCATTATAAGGACGAATTTGTCTTACTGGATATAAAATGAGAAGTATTTTTAGAAATTCCTGTGGAAATGTTACACTTTAACTCAACTACGAGCTTGAATTTCCCTCAAAGTCTTCAAAAAGTACTTGGAAAATCTACATATATAACTTCCATAGTTTCTGTTGTCATCAGCATCAAAATTATTTTTAGTAAAAGGTTTCATAGTAGAAATTAGAATTAAAGACTATCAGTAGTCAAGAGCCCCGATTTGTAACTTTACGTTTGTTCCCTTGGGTGATAAGATGAATGTATGCCACTTATTATAAGACAATGGGTTCGTTGCTTAGCAGTGCGGCCTGGACTTTTAATTGTGATGATGAGTCTGCTTTCGGAACGGGTAGGTTCTTAACTACTTACTCCTCTTCTAAGGCTGTTTTGCCTTTTCACTTAATCTGATTTGTGGTAATAATAGCTAAGAAACACGCGAAAAGCTCGCGATTGGCAGCTTAATAATTGACTGTTTCCTAACACGGTTCCAATGTCATAGGTCAAAGGTTTGTGCAACGGAAACCAACTCCATAAGACACTTCTGGTCATCAACACAATGAGTGATCTCGGTTTTCTCTATTGTGCAGTTTGCAACAGGACAAAATCAGAGTCGATAATCTCATTGGCAAATTGCGAACTCATGCTCTGAAGGTGTGTATGATTTTGTTTACCCACGGGAAGTCCTCTTGCTGGAGGCGAACGGCAGCGACAAATTGCACTCCTCAGTGCCTTTTAAGTGTTGTTTTGTTTTGCATCCGAAGTCCGAACAAAAATACGTGGTCTACATCTACTGAGTGCCTTCCAATCAGCTCTTGAATAATGGCAAGTTGAGTTCGTAAACATGGAGTTAAACTTGATGCGGTGGCACAGCTTGGCTTTATGCGCTTTGACGGATTTGGAAATTTGACTTCAGTGAAGCCTGACCCATTTGTGGTCCAATGACCTCGTTCCCGTTAAATTACCAAGTTTATGGTTAAGTTCATCAGAAGTCTTTTAAAAGAGTTCCCCATTTTTAGAGCTTTTGAACAGAATTATTTAGAAAATCAATATTGGTGTGACCAAACTAGAACTTGAATGTACACCTTTTGATTGGAAAGACTGTTTTTAGGCTTAATTAAAAATTAATGGCACTAAGCCTGTGGGATGCAAAAGTGCAAATTAATTAAATTAACTCATCTATAAGCCACAATAAATTCACGGACTAAAATGGTGCTTCGACGCAGACCAGTTGCAGTTTCCTGCCTCATTTGATCAGTCAGATAGCAAGTAATGATTAGGAAAGTTTACAAAACTTGTGTAGGTAAGTGAAGTTTTATTTCTTGGGCACTGCTTAAACCTCTTTTCATGCGACACACTAGACACTTCTGCATTGAAAGCGTCAATGTACAACTCTTCCTTTGGCTTAGAACGCTTTGTTAATTTTTCTCTGGTCTGTGATAGTCCATGAATCAATGAAACAAATTTTCAAGCATTATTTTCTATCCTGAAAAAGGTCGTTCTTTAACCTATAATTACTACGGCATTCTCGTTATGGGAATAAAATCTGTTGAAAAAGGCATCACTTCCCAAGACAGTGAAAGCTCTCTCCACGGAGTCCTGTGGTAGAAAAACCGGCTTGCGTATTGATTCTGTGGGCGTGGTTTTGGTCACGGGCAGATAGTAATAATTTGGTGGTGCAGATGTGGAAGGGAGTTAGGAGCGTTCGGAATAGCTATCTGAGCGGTTTACGGTGGTGTGATAGAATTCAGGGACTACACTGACCGTCCCAGTCAGTATTCCGAGAGTCAACGTCATTACAAATGAGATGACAGAATTTTCCTACTATCCTGAAAGTTAGGTTAAATTCGGAGCTTGGTTTCGGCAATAGCAAAAAACTATTTCTGGCCGATCATGCGTCACAAGACAAGGCGTGGAATGTCCGCTTCATGGTTTGTAAAGTGGCTCAGTGTAGCAAGAGTAGTAAGACCTCATGCTACCTCGAAATCCACACGATCGTTTCTTCAAGAAAAATGTTAAAATGCTTAGATAAACATTATGGAAAAATTCTTGTTGCTTCACCGTTTGGTGTCTTAAACGGGTAGCGATCGAGTGTTACGACTTCTTAGACCATTTTGCAGCTGTCAACAGCGAATTCAGAAAGTTGTAGTTGAAATCACTTTCAGAAGGCTAACTTAAATCCCTTATTCAGTGCAGTCTACAAGGCCTAAATTTTGAGGACGTTCAGACGCGACTGTTCATTCTCCTTGAGCTGGAAATTTCAACAACACTCAATAAAGTTGACAGCGAGTAAAAACCTTGGAGTAAGACTCCAAAATAGACCAATCAGGGAGCCACAGTAAAACTGGAGCTAATGTGGGTAAATGGATTACCGAAACCCCCTTCTCTGATCCTCCACATAGTGCCATTGATAAGAGTCCCATGGTACAACATTTACACAAACTTAACATCTTTATAGGTTTTGTATATTGAGACTTTTGAATGCAAACACTTGCAATCTTACATAATTTTACAGGATTTCCTCATTGGTGGTGATGCCATTTCTTTAATACGGACTGTAATTAGCCTATATTTCATTCATAGAACCAACACATGCATGAATTTGCAGAAATTTTCTAGTCCCGACATAACTAGCCTTGGACTGTCACCGTGTGTGCATCAAGGTGTACTTTATTCGGCGAAGTATTCCTTTGAATACTTTTATGCATTTTTTAAACCAAGAATTAAAGCCAAACAAGGCACAACTCAATCACTGCCGTCAGAGTCACATTTATGATTTAGAGGTAGGAGAATTCGTTTTATTTCTTAACACCAACAGAGTGTGAATGAGCTTAACAGTATAGATGAAGCAGAAGCAATGAAATTCGCTGGGCTTCCCCATTCTTTATAAATGGATTTCTAAATCAAGATGCACACGTTAACCATGACGCTTTACTCTTACTGACTAATTGCGTTACCATTTACCAAAACACAAAATACTGCGTAAATGCACTTTACTGGTAGTGTCTTAGGCAAATAGATGATTGTGGAATACGCACACAGTTCCCTGCATTGTGGTTGCCATCAAGTGGGAAAAAATTGTCACACTCGAGCAGAGTGTTAGCTGCACTAGACAGTGTGGCGTAATTGAAGTAATCGTGTGGTTTCGCTAATTAAACACAAAATCGGTTGTCAAGCGCCATCGCCACGTTGACGTGAAGCCCACACTTTGACACACTGCTCGATGAGCCAGTGTCTAAGCGGTTTGAACTCATGCAGAAGACGCGAAAGAAACACCTTCAATCGAGTGTGTGCGCACACGCACAGACCTTGAAACGCTCGCTGAACTCACATGTGACCACGGTAGTCTCGAGCACAAATTATCCACAGCACAACCTCTCGCGAATAATCTATCTCAAGTGGAGAGATACATGGCATGTGGAGAGGTGACTGTGCAGAGGTGAATGACTTGTACAATTGGAAGGCATCCACGTAGAAAGGATCAGAGCGTCATTGGTGGGCCACAAATATATCGGCTTTAGCTTACAGTAGACAACAGCTTCGTGGTCATTTTGATGTTTGATCAGGTTCCATCAAAACAAGAGCCCTACACCTTTCAAAGCAGGACAATGTTTGTGCTACCCTGTCACTGGTCTCCGGTTGTCCTCAAAATCCTCGGCTTACCGAAGGCGTGTGAATGCACACACTCACTTCTTTTCACAGTAACTGCAAGGCGAAATCTCGGGTATTGTTGTGGCCAAGAGCTTTGTTTGAATAACGGACTGGGACTTTGGAAGCATGTGTTTTTTTCACGTTTGAGCCCAGTGAGAACTGGTACGACTCAAAGCCAATAAAAGTCGGCTGCACCGAGGTACCCTAAAACCCCATGATTCACGACCCCTAAAAATACCAATTGGAATGTGCGTTCATAAAAAGGATTGCTTTGCACAAATACCACAAGTCTTTTTTCCGTGGGTCTAATTAGTTATTAACCAAGGCGAAGTCACGTACAGCCATTTTCGGTTTCGTCGTGGTACTTAAGCGGTACACTTGCAATGTCAGTTCATTCAAGTTGTGAAATCCACTTCGGTTGCGTGAAGACGTATGAATAGTTGCTTTCGCCAAGTTACCACACTCCTGAACGTGTTAAAATAGCAGTGATTTACGACGAGCCGTTGGAGTTCTAAATGAATGCACATGCCTATCATCGCCAAATTAATAACCCCTCGCCCCGAAAATTTGTTTTCCACTCGTAGGAAATCTGACATGTCACTTTACCCAGCACACTAGTCATTCACGTAGGCATCAATTCGTCTAAGCACACGCACGCACAAGTGTTGCGTTACAAATTGACACGCACACAAACACACGAGGGCCTTTCGAGTCACACCTGGAAAGACGGTGTTTGAGTATGTGTGAGAGCGAAACACGCAATCTCGCTGAAGCTGTAATACCTTGTAGTCTAAGCACATCCGCCGTCTGCACGCCGAGCCAGCACTTGTCGGTAATGAGTGGACCAACGATAGCTTAACGTAAGACGCAAGATTCCAATCGTCCTGTCATGCGTGAATATGCTGTGGTAATTTCAGGACCAAGAAATGTAAGGATCGAGGTGTGTATTACTACTGTTGTCGCGAATGTCATCGGCATTCTTATTGAATACACCTTAAAGATCTTGGTTTTTGTCTGATGATGGTGGTGGTACGAAAACTAGTCTCAAGGTGTTTTTCAAATGGGTTACTCTGCGCTGGCGTTGCCCGATTTCGACAACCTGGTCATGTGACCTCACACACACACACACGCACACATGCGCGCGCACACGCATGTGCCTCAGGTACAAATGTGTGCACGCAGAGTGTGCCACTTACTGTCCACCCACGACAGTCACGGAGGAGAACAGGAGTAAGGTCCTTCCAAATAAAAGTGGACGCTACCTTTGGCACTGCTGAGGGGCGAGGCATTATGGTGGTTGCATAATTACCCCAAATTCAAAGTGGCCAGAGATGTAGTGTCATATTCTCTGCTTGTAGCGCGTTGATGTCGCGTTGAGTAATGAATTCTAGAACCTTTGGCGTTGGGTATGCATTGTCGATATTTCAATCCGTTTGTCGAACGACACCACCGAAAGTGTAGTGTGGGATTCAAAAGAGGTCCAAATCTAATCACGAGTTGTACTTTTGCTCGGCCTGTTGGTAGTTCGATACCAGGTCGGTCAGTTGGGCCAGTACCTACAGCGGAAATTAGCAAGCGCTTATGACGCCAGGCGCTGCTGCTACCCTCTCTGCAAGTAAACGGCCGTTGTAAGTGTTTTTCTCGGTGCTTGACCGTTCGCATACCCTAAGAACAGGAAGTCAACAGTGGATTCTCTCGGTCCACCACGTGGTACAAGCGGTTCTCTTCTGCCGAATGCAAAGAATGTTTTGGCTTGCAGAAATTGACGTTGGTTTCAGTCTGGTGCTACTTGTTGTAGGTCTGAACTTGCACACTGGAGCAAGTGGAGTGGGTTTTACGTGCATGCAGTACAGTATACCCCGGTGACACAGACCCGACGGTGCTTGGTGTCTGGGCTACAAAGGACTGACATTGGCACAATACGCTCTCTTAAAGTGGGTGTTGTCAATGCAGTTGACTCTAGACCCGTCGATATGATTGCGGACTAACTAATTTGATATCAACAATCGATTTTGAGCGAATTCGGTGTGTTTTCTTTCACATTTGCCGAGACCGAGGAACTACAGTCGTCAGTCAGTCATACGCCTTAGGTCCGAATCAGTTTGAGACAGCCACCAGCTTACTTCACTTCCGGCCTCAACTTAATTAGCTGAAAGTCGACGAAATGCCTCATGATCATTTTGTTTGTTGACTTGGTTTCATTGTATACGTGTTGGTTCTTTTCGTGGTGCAATGGGAATCAATAGGATGCCGAGATGTTTTGCAGACTGCCGTGTCTGGGTTTAGGATCAGGATTGCAAGTAGGGTGAGAACACCACCCAACTGTCGCCAAACAGTCGGCTGAAAAAATGACATCACTAGCACGCATTGAAGGGTTCCAGAGTAATGTGATTAATCGAGTGGAGCAAACATTTGTTTCTTTAAAGTAACCTCAGTGTAGTGGGCTGACAACCTCAACCGCTGGTGCAATGACTTGCGGCGCTGTCTCGTTGACCACCAATTTTTTTCTCTTACCTACGCAGTACACCGTTTTGCACCTCTAAGTGTGACTCAGGAGCTGCCCTTTGTTACATTGCATTTTGTAGGGTTTTTCAATTAGAGCCCTGTGCAACTGGGACGCATAACGCTAGTTACAAAACCAAGGCAGACTTGTCAAATTGGCTCTAGTTAGAGGAAGATGGTGGTTTGTGAAGGATTACGTCTCCAATTAAAATGTCGCCGAGTACGTCGGATGCTGGTTCACTGAGCAGGCGTGATCGTCACTCAGTTTGAACAATCAGAAATACAAGGCGGTGTAAATGCGAAAATAAGACATTTAGGGACAAATGTGGCTCCACTCCACTATCGTAACTGCTGAAGTAACAGACACCACGTTAAAGTCTAATTATACATTTTAGGGTTTTGAGCTATCCTGATGGTAATTATCCCTACATGTAGCCTGCACCAAACATCGTCGCTTTTGTCTTCCTTTTGGTTTGTGCAATAATGCGCAGTTTTCGTGCATTTCCGTAGAAACTGTGTTGCATTCCTTTTTCTGGTTCCCCTCTAGATAACTACGTAGTATTTCTTCGCATCAGTGGTGATAATTACGCAGAATTACACCTATCAAGCAACACAACACAACACGACTTTAGCCTTCTGTTTATACAACGTTCTAGAAAACCAGTTCTGCTTGCCGACGGCCCTAGTTTTGTCAAAGTGTTCCCCATTCAAGCCTCATTTCAGTTATCGGTTTCAACGTTTCGTTTGGGCTCTTGTAAGGGATTGCGTTTGTTGGTGCCTTCCAAAAGCCAATTAAAGGGCACCCCAGATTGAGCACATGCATCACTACCTTCTTTGGGCTAATTTTACAACGACGCGTTTTTAGGCCACAGAAATATATTTCAGCTGGCAAACTGCCGTATCTGCTGGATGTATGGAAAGTGCGTATCGCACGAAGTAGTGTGTCTGGATTCTTCATTCTAGTAGGATGTTCCCATAAAACGAGACTTACAGCTCGACTTGACTTAAAACATCAGAACAGAACTTCAGGAGATCGAGGAAATGCACACATTGCAACTGTCGTGAGACCAGAATGGGTTGCTTGACGAATGCATTTCCGCCGAAACACCCGCTTGGTATTGCCGTTGTATCATGTTGCCTTTTCTACATTTTAGACAGCCGTTTCTGGTTTCGAAGCTCTGGCTGCGTGATGGCAGTCTCGTTGTCCCTGACATCCCATCGGTCGATCGCCCCTTTCATTCTCTCGTTTTAAGTGACGTCGGTCTACTCTCCGCCTGCAGACGTTGGAACCATGCAAATTACGGCGACAGTCGAGGCAGTGGTGGTGGTGGTGGCGGTGGTGGTTCAACCCTTGCCAACAGAATCGCTTGCCTCGAAGACGGCGTCGATGCGATGGCTTGGCTTAACAGAACCCCGGCAGAGTGGATTCACGCCCAGAAGCGCGCGGCCACTTTCCCCACCAAGGAGGAAGAGTCCACGGCCTCGCTGATCATCGCCGACCCCAGGGTCTCCAGGGTCGTATCGCCCTTCGCATCAACTGCTGCCAGGGACATGCCGCTAGTGTGGCTGTCGAGCATGAACAATCCCTCACCCCTCCGTCAAAAACTCAATTTCAAGGCATTCAAAAAGATGATTAGGACAGCGTTTGCCACATTCACCTCGGTCAATGCAGAAAGAAACTACGCCGAAGAAATCCTCAAGGCTTACGAGCCCATGCTCAGGGATGCTCGAGAGGACACTTCGGAGTTGCGCTACACGGCAATTGTAAACGCGATTCTACACGACATCCGGGCTGTGTGCGGAGTGACACTCTACCTGACACGACTGCAGAGACTGTCGCTGAGTCAAAGTGGGTCGGTCTACCGGGTATTGAGTCAGCAGGTGGAGGAGGCACCTGTGCTTGACAAAGACACCCACACACCCTACGACATTCCCACATTCCTAAACGACAGGGCCGTGCTAACGCCATCGTCGGAGTTTCTCAGGAAGTCTTTGGTCAGTTTTACGAAAAGCGGCGAAATTGAGGGCATGAAGAGGTTCAAGTACCCGAGAAGTGCAAACGATCCTGCATTGGAGACGACCATTAATATCCTTGGTCAAGGTGGATTAACCACGGCTGGGAGTAGGGTGATTTCCCACTTTGCGACGTGCAAAGCTTGGATCAGCGAGAAGGGCGAGACGGAGTTCGCGATTAAACACGGCATATTGAATTGACGTAAAACTAGAGAGAGGCACTTTGAGCAAACACAATCTGCCTGCTACTCTGACTGAACTTCGCCAATGAAACCTGGTTAAATGTACTTCAAGTATGCACACGGACTGCAACATTTACACCGGTATCTACCGTTCATTCCGAGAAGTAAGTTCACCCGAAAGTTAGTGATGCCTCGCCGCAGCGTGGATCGAAATTTGTGCAAAAAGCACCTAATGCAAGTCACCACTTCGATTATGCAACCTGAGGAGAAAACTAATCCAATGCGTGAAGATCCAACTCACCAGCATGCTAGAAGATCAAGACAGGTGCATGCGAGTGGGGAACGGTGGAGGTTTGATGTCAGTGAATTGCAAAAGGGCAGAAAATAAATATGAGATTCCCACATACTTTTTTTAAGACATAGAGCACCTCATTACCTCGGGTCGTAACTTGTTTCATCCTGTTGTTAAGCGAGGCATTCCTAAATACACCCTAGCTTATTCACGAATTGGTGATTTTCTGTTTGTGAAAGTACTGGTTACACAATAATTGTGGCTATGCTACTTAAACTGCAAATGAACATATGAACACGAATTACCTATGGATAATGCCAGGCTGAAAGAGGATTTGCGGGATGTTTGTACTAGTGATAACCTCGATTACAACAGACGTGTCTCACCGGGCACCCATACAAACACCGGGAATGAACTTTCACACGTTGGCTATTATTCTTTTGGTTGTTAAATGCTGGCCTTTATGGAATTGCCTACATGAGTGTGTATGAATCATCAGCTCCAGCTCATTCCTGTCCAAATGGTGAATATTTCATTGGTGTCAGTCGTGGAGCTCCTTAGTCGGAAAGCACGCTGGAGTTTAACTAGGTTTTACCCATTTTACAAACTTAATGCCTTGTCAGAATTACTTGCGGATGTGCAAAAGCTGTCAGTTGAATTTACTTTACTTATTGCCATGCACAAACAAAATGACAGTCGGGCCGGTGGCGTTAAGTGGCAAACCGCATCAAGCCAATCTCAGGACTAGTTTCTCTAAACTGGGATCAGCCAGTTATGTGAAGCCCCAGCCAAGCTTTTAGGTAAACTATTTAAATGTAGCGCGGTAATGCATCTCGAGTGGTGCGGCACAGAGTCACCTTCCAGTGCGAAGTAGCCTGCTCACGCACTGAGGCGGCGCTGCTTGCCTCAATGCTGCCGCGCTTACTCACCACGCCTTCGTCATCGCACCGCCCAGCTTCTGCCCAGGCAAACCGCTATTTTACCGTCAACACCCGTGTCACCGCTTGAGGGCGTACGGAGGGTTGCAATTAAGAGGGAGGGAACAAACACACGCCTTTGTGCGGACTACAGCTAACAATTTCTCTGTTTATGCACACTCTGCCGCGGAAAACACGGTCGCAATTTGTGTCACGTGACTTACGGCCGGGCTTGAAACTCGAAAAATATTTGTCTGTCCGAGGAGTCGATGCCATTAACTACAGGACGTTGTAAGGTTATTAAAAGCTAGTTAATATTAACCAGAAGAGTCTAAGTACAAATAATTCGTAGTTTCTTTGGATTGAAGTTTACGTATAACTTAATGGGGGAAGGTTTACCCATGCAATTGTACTAATGAAAATGAACAAGGTAGCTAGTTTCATAAAACAATGAAAAATCCCAATCTTCGTCTTTTTCCCCACAGATTCCAATGAATGTCTCGTATTTTTTGTTTCTCGTATTTGGGGTTTGGCGGGGTATGTTTACCTACCATAGATTTTATTATTTCTATTCATCGGTAGTAAATTTTTCTTACCCAACGAGTACTGTATTTACTTTTCTTCGAGTCAAGGTTCACCAGAATGAAATTTCTGCTGTTTTTTTCATAATGTGAATTTACTTGGATTTGTTGGCTCTGGATCTAATTCAAATTTGCAGTTTACCTGAAGCCATTCCATTGTGCCAACAGCCTTCATTATTTTCGATATTACCTCAAAGATATTTAAAAATAGGTTTTACAAGTTAGATGATAGAATCAATTAGTAAAGGGAGCTAATAAGTGAAGAACCGTTAAATGGAAGACTTATTAGAATATAATCGAGAAAATATATGTTACCGGTTAAAAAATGAAGTTGTTATATATTTTTGCAACAGTGAAGCTTTAGGGACTTATTGGCCTCCAATTCAATTAGTAAAGGGAGCCAACAACCTCCACGAGACTGATTGCAGGAGGCTTTTTGTCGTGTGACGTCCGTCTTGAATGTCGTCCATTAATTAACCCTGCTTAGCCGAGGTCTACAAAGCAGGCTCAGCCTGGGCATCGAAAATCTCATCTCTGTCCCCACTAAAATTACACCAGAATGATATTCAATCCCGCTTCAAGCCATGCAAAACGTTTTGTCATTCCACAGCTCTGATCTCTTTTTGCAGTTACATTAATTTTTGGTCAATTATCTAAAGCTTTCACCAGTTTTTGTACTCCGGCGTCTAAAATGATTTCCTAAAGTAACAACTCTGTTATTTGGTCCAAAATTCTTGATCCCAAAATGTCCTTATTTGGACCTCGCAGATTCCGATTACCGGGCTAGAAGTGGAATCTAATCCACCGCATTGGTAGACGAGCATGCTGCCATTTTGTTTGTGTCAAACTACACGCTGGGTGTGTTTTGCGGAAGTGGTAGTCCATTTTTCTTTACAAAAAACGGCATTTGTTTAATAAAGCCATAATGATTAAGTAGCGTAGCCAAAAAAGAACTATTTAAAACGGGATTTGACTAAATGAAGTCATGTGGTGGACACTTTAGTTGGGTCAGATTCTTTCATTATTACTCACTAACACCTGAAATTCTGAACTGTGCATGGTTCCCATAAAAATTATTACTTTTCACTAAATAGCTATTGTTGCTCGCTGTTTTAGTTGCCTTTTGCATTCGCAGTTCTCAGAATTCAAGCTTGTCATCGTTGTCCAGATCTCGAGCTTGGCCCAGACTGGTGTGAAGTTGACTTTGTTGGGCTTTTTCAAAACAAAATCACATGTTTAAGTAAACATCCGGTAATCATGCATTCTGTTTCGTCGTGCTGACGTGCCAGAGAAATACATAAGATGTCGTCAATTCAAACTTTGCGAAAAAGAAGCGATGTAATAAATGATACATTGGTATGGTTCACTATTAGATGGCCAAAATATTTATGAATTTCTCTCATTAGTTGGTGCTTTTTGTTCTCCCATAGTTGCCAGATGATAATCCGAATCAAAGTTCAACCGCATTCAACGAAAATCAAATTGTTTTCGTTCTCTGTCTTGTTTAATGAAGCTTACATTACATGCGACCCATAATTAACTGTTCGTTCTTTGGGGTTACCGATACAAAATCTGTGCCTAATTATAGGACATTCGTGAAAATTAAAGTTGTTTGTTAACAGTCAGTTGATTCGTCATTTGAATCTATTTTACCTTTCGCTGTGCTACTCAAGTTAAAAATATGACTTTTGTCTTATGGGAGAAACAGTCGGAATAAAGGCATCTTCACAGCGCCTCGGAACCCGACCAGCTCATCCTGGCCGCAAAGTGAATTCGCGAAACGTCGTGGCAATCAGGCTACAAGATTCACGTTTTTACATTTTCATTTCCCAATAAAGAGACACTCTAGCCATTGTGGGGTGAACTGCTGAAGTTTCAAAGTATTCCAATTACTTGATGGTCTCCCTAAATATGCTAACGCTATTCTTCTTATTATTAGAACCAATTATTGGAGCTAAATTTTTTTCCTGGCTAAGATTAAAGAAGAAAAACATAAGTGAGTGGCTTTTTGAAGGTTTAAATAGCGGTTCAAAATAATACCAGTTAGGTGATTATGCTACTTTTGCTTCCGTCTTCGGTTACTAACGTCAATTTATTAATTTCCATTTTGACTACATTAATTTTATGATAGGAAGCAACAAACCCAAATAATGAACGATATGCTCGACTTGAGTCTAAACAAAATGCATTATTGAAGGATATTTGAGTAACTGAATAAATTTTATGCAAAATGTTTACTATGTGAGTCTCAACCCTAATCCCTGTGCAGTTTAGTTACCGGATAATTGTGAGATTACCTGTCAAGTCTGCTCTTTTGTTTTAGACCAAATTCCCAGACTGAGACAAATTAAACTGAGTTGCTGATTTGACATTCCGGTATCCAAAGACCTTTTAAAGTAGTGGATTTGTATCTGACGATCACCATGGACGTCAAACGCACTTAACCTATAAGCCACAGGACAGGCGTGTATCAGATGAGACTCGCGTCGGTTTCACGTGCGGACTCTCGATCTTCATGTTTGCGAGGTCACGTAAAGTGCATTAGGAAGACCAACTTCATGAGATTTAAGAACAAGCCTGTTCGCCCGCGTAATAACAACTTTTCTGATGGGCCACTTCACACATTGGTACACACATTTAGGACTTATCTAAGAACATCAATCCTATTTCCCATTGTATGTGTGTGTGTGTGAATAGAGCAAAGGTGCTAGCCTTCAGTTTAGGAATTTGAAGCAATTAGATTGCGAAGCCGAATTAGCTCGAAGCTTCGAGCCACTCCGTGATCATCCAACGTAGTAATTGGAGTTCACCATCCTTGTACTTCCAAGTTTTACATTAGTTAGTCGGAAGTAGCAAGATAACACACAATGTAAATTGGAAAACAAGCATTTGGAAGTTCGGACACTAGGCATTGCCTCCACGTTATCGCACACAAGCGTTTGTCACTAATGCTGTAATCAACACATACCGACATCACTCGCCGAACGACCATAGACGAGAAAAGTAGTCATTAAATTCCCTCATGTCGAAATTATTGGGACATTTTTGCTCCGGAGTTCTTGCCACTGGCCTGTACAAGTACAACACGCCCACGGATCTCCTTTACAAACAGCTGTTTAGGCTTTTAAGTACACATGAGTGAGCTATTAATTACCCAAATGGACACCTAAGCCGATCCTCGCAATGTTGCCCTCATTCTAGTCAAACAAAGCAAGGCCAGTTAATCTTTTGTAGTGCATTAAGTCCTACTAGTCCGTTCTCATTGCCGAACGCCAATCACCTGTGGAGTGATGGTCGCGTGCTCGTCCACTCTGTGCTTGAAGCTGTATTCATCCGCAATCTTGGTTTGTCACGGTAGGGTGGTGAAAGGTTGTCTCATAAACAAAAACCAACAAATAATTTTGCTTAGAAAATCACTGATAGTCGTGGTCATATTTGTTATTGAGAGTGCTTTCAATGGATCAAGCTCTTGTAAGGTAACCTTTCAGATCCACTGTTAAGTTGAATAGTACAAGTTGGTTTCTTATAACTCGACTTCTTGGACAAATATTGTTTGTTAAATGCCGTCTGTCGATGCTACCTACTCCGAAACTTCATGGAAGGATATTGAAGTGGGTTCAACAAAAGGAGGTGTTTCGAAACAGTAATCAATAAATCCAAATACAATTTTTCAGGTAAGATGCTGTGTAATGTACAGCTTGCATGGCAAAAAAAACGATCAATTCCATACAAAACCGCACGATTTCAAGTGATACCACCGCCAAGCACCCCCTAGGTGAAAATTAATATCTTGACTGGGTGTTTAAAGGTTCACTTGATGTAGAGCGATTTCCGGTAAATTTTTGATTTCTTCAATTGCCCAGGCCTTACCCAATTTCCTTTAACCAATGAGTTGTCACTTTTCCAGAAATGACAAAGGCAGCAAATAACATCTACCGTGTGTTCTACTGGGCGAGCACCCATTACTGATGACTGAACAAGTGAGCCCCACATTCCAGATGATTGCTTTACAAACCACATCAATGATTCCACCAACACGCTACAGGAACCAACCGCCTTAGCTCATCCTTAGTTCGTCCGACTACCACTGATATCTACTGTGTAGTAATTTTCTAATTGAATATGACAAAGAAACGGGAAGAGAACAATCACATGAGGCAAGAAGCCACCAGTGATGTCTATGCGAAGCAACCCCACCATATTGACGGAAATAGGGCTAATTCCAAACACCATAACCTAAAAAGGCTACACGCCGAAATACTAGATACTGCAGCTCTTCCAAGAAAGCCAACACAGTGAGGTTTCCGGGCTAATTCATAGATGCACTAAATCGCATGCACCGGCGGTTGCCGGAGCGGGCACCACCTCGCCCTCACCAGCTTTCTTCTGTCTAGAGAGGCCCCCACCCCAACACGAAGCAAAAGGAAAAACGGGATTTGACGCTCTATTGCACCTAATTGAAAGACAATAATGATTAACAAGTCCCATTTTAAAAGTGACAACTGATATTAGGTAAAACAGATAAAAGTAAATGCATTGTTGAGGAACCTGTCCACACTTGCCGCCCTCAGGGACGAAACATTGGAGCGACGCCGTCAAAATCCGGAGGCGTCAACGCTGTCACCGCCTTAACACGGAATAAGCACAGGCTCAGCGCATACTACAGGTCTATTACTTTTTTGTACATTTTCATAAGATTAGGATGGAGGGAGCAGGCGGGAACGATGTCGAAGAAGTAACAAGTGCAGATCAAAACAATATGGAACGCTTCAAGAGGGCGCAGGATTTTTTTGTACACAAGGATAGCAAAATAACCACGGATATTACTGTATAAAAGCGACTGTACAATCACGTATTTTTGCCAAGGACAGCAACACCCAGGAACAATCAGAGCGGTGAGCCATCGAAAGCTTTGTGCATAAGGAAGCTGCCTTGATTTCCTCATTTTCTTCACTAGGGAGTCCCAAAAATCAGAAGAACAGAAGAGTAGTAAAGGCTCAAAAGCGTTGGAAACTAGGTAGACGGGCTCCCACAAAAACGGACCGCACACCAGCAGATTGCTACCTGAAGGATAACAATATTAATTATTCGACCAGAAACCAGTTACGCCTGAGCTTAATGCTAGGCACGTAGTACATGAACACATGAGGCAAAATACACTCGCCTTGTTTATTCGTCCTCCTCCCCCACCCCTTCGGTTATAGTTCTCAGTGACGGCTGAGTCGAGCCTAAGAGATTTAATCTGGTTCTCCTAGAGAGGTTCCACACTACTTCCGAAGACATGATTGGAGACTTGGATGGAGAGACCGAGTAACTTTCGAGTGTGCCGTTGTCGAGAAGTACTCGAGAACAAGTATCAACGTCGACCCAACCAACCTAAAGACATGAAGCGAGCGAATAAGTCATTAAATCAAAGATTTCAAGCCTCATTAAGCAGCAATTGAGGCCTACATTATAATGGTTCGCCAAGGTAAATAAGTAGTTCAGGGTGATTCTCTGGAGTGAATGGAAGGCCGGAGACTCAGAATCTTCTGTACAAACAAGGGGGGCATTCTCGGTGTATAACGCCAAGAGAGCCAAAGCAAGACAGGATGGTCGGAAAAGTGCTGAACTTGTTGAGCACAGCGCAATCTCCAGCTGCCTAACAAGGAAGGTTGGGAGGCTTGAATACTCCGAATGCTCCTCGTCGGGGTTCAGAAAGAGTGAAAGGAAATCGAGGGCGGTCGCTGCTGAAGCACCAATGGCTGCAACTTTTGAGGGGCCAATCTTTGTCAAAATGATGTCCACCATACGAACCAAATCAGAGGACGACCCACCACAGCGCGTCAGGCACACAAGACTTTCAACGGTTAATTGCGTTTGCTAAAGGGAAAGGCTACTTTTATACGATACCGAAGAAAAGGTGACTGCTAATTTTTGATTTCAAACCTTGCCAGTTTCGAACTTTGATGCGATATAATAACAAGCCGCAGCGACGCACATCATGTACTTCGGCTTGACCTTCACTCGAGTGATGAAAGTATCAACCAAGCAAACGGCCTTGCAGAAGACAACGGGAGACAGATCATAGTACGCACGGTGTAGCGACCTTAGACGTGTCAAGGAAACATCCCGCATAGAAGCATCGACTTTATCTTCCGATACCTAAGCATCAAGCAAGTAAAACCCAAATACACCAATTACCGGGTCGACATAAAGAAGAGGAGAAACATCCGCGAAAACCTGGTCTTCCAACGCTAAAAGTTGTGCTAGTGCGCAGTCGCGATAAATCTAATGCCGTGGTTATACGAATTATCGAAGTACGTACCGAGAGCGAGGTTTCTCGTGCTTGGACAGGGGTGAAACCACCACAACCCGTCCGCATTGGGCAAGCAAACGCCCCATTCCGGTAGGGAAAACTTTCTTGGCCATGCGAAACTCGCCCACTATTACCCCAATCATGGGAGGCAAACGATGGCGGCATAGATGGAGAGGCGGTCAAAAGGGACATGTAGGAAGAAAGTGGACCTCTGGTCGCGGTTGCCAACATGCACAATAAAAAGGGACGAGAGAAGCAGCCCAGACAACATAAATCGGTAACCGTCACAAGCGCTTATATAGAAAAAATTGACCAATTACAAACTAGAAAAGGCTGTGGTTCTAATTGGTTAAGATTGTTGAAAATTTCTAGAATCAGGTGACTAAATAAATGCCTATAAAATACAATGCAATAAACCAAAAATATTAATAAATACTAAATTAAATCATTATTTTCCACGTAGTTTTTGTTTATAAATTAAATTTCTAAAAGAACTTTAATTTATTAAGCAGTCTGTATTTTGTTTCTTATAACATTGATTTGGTTAGCTTTCAAGGTCGGCCCAAGAAATCGCAACGCCCTTTTGCGAGTTTGGGTTCTGCTGGGCGGTGCGCGTCTACGTTTTCAACATTCAATCCTGCATATTCTTTAATGGATGCACTACGCTAGCACTAGCTTTTAATGGAATCTACCTTGGTATTTGAAAGCACTTTTCGAAAGTCGTTGCCCTTTATTCTAGACATCATTTAATTTTGTTGCGTTGCCTATGACCACCTTTACTTCCGGTTTTATTTGGAATTCTTTGTTACTTTTGACTTGTCTCCAGGTCTCGTTCGTTAGGGTCACGATATCAGCGCTAGCTTTTCCTCTGCGGGTTTGTTACTTGGCAGCATATGTTGACGAGTGACTGACCCTGGGTCCGACCGTCACAATTCGTGAATCTCTTTAGATTAGACCCAATTTTCTTATGCTAATTTCCTTCAACGAAGGCATAGGACAATGCAGGCAACTCTCATGACTTCAACTTCTAACGAAAATTAAACCGACCAAATAAATGACTTCAGGTTAGACTTAAATGGCTGATTCCAATGCCTGAGGGCCGTATCCTGTGTCCCAAATACCCGAATACGGTCGCCATGTTTTTTTCTGTCACCTTGATTCGGCAGTTTGTTGTGTTTATCATGTTAAGCAATGTTTTAACTGTACAACTCTGTATTTTAGATGCAAGAAGTGACATCCGTCCTGGCCTTACTCTTTAATGCAACAGGTACGGCTCAAATTGTTCCATTATTGAATAACATGTGAAAACATCCTTGGATATAACACCACGAATCCCACGCATTCTTAGTACTTGAATTCGTTCGTAAGCGTTTATTGAGGGAGCGCGTCATGTTCGTCTCTTGAAACCTGTATTTTGTTTGTTGTGGATGAGGGTGTAGTGTATTTATCCCAATTTCAGTTACCGTTATTTCCTTCCCGTTTTGCTTACAACACGCATTCTATTGGAGAGCGAAATGCAGACTGACTCTATTTTCGAATTAGTCTTTGGTAAGATTCACGGAATATGCGTGAGTCGAATTATTTTCTGCACAGCCCTTAGATGTCGCTCCTTTCTGCCATAATTTTCGCATAATCCATGGAGGTTTCAAATATACTCTCGGCCTCCGTGGTGCGTAGCGCGCACCGAGCATGCGCACACGTACGAACGAACAGCATACCATTGCGATCCAGTCTGGCCCTCCCTTACTAATTCCGCGCCTATTGACTGTACATAATGAGATATATTTAAGGATAGCTTTCTCTCGGAGACCGCTTGTAGGCTGCCTGCAGTAGTTTCCGTTCCCCTACCTGTGCTGTTGCAGGGTTTCTATTTGGCCGAGAGTCGTTTTTTTGTCTTTGACTGGATTTCAGTTCAGATCTGATAAAATTCGTTGAGTCCGTTTAAGATTGCTTGTGGTTCGTGTTTGCCAAAGGGTGTCTGGCGACGTATTCTAGTTTTAACATTGGGTGGTAAACTGCTTCGTGGTACTCGATACCTCCTAAACTGAGACTTGATAAATAGTGCCTTGTGCAAGTTTGGAGTCCGTCTAAAATCGTGAATCGCCACAAGTGTTTTTCGGAGTTTGGTGTGTGTGTCGCTCACGGTGCGTTCCCATGTCTGATTTATTTGCGGTTTCCCACCCCCCTCTCTGCTCCTTGATCCCCTAGGTTCCCAGGCCACTTCAGTATCCTCGCAGCCCAAAGTCTACCCTTTCAAGCGCATACTTGGAATTCCCCGCGCCAATTTTCCGAGTCGCCCTTTGCCTTCAGCCACATTCCGAGCGTGCTGGGTACCGAGTGGCAGCTATTTCAAAACTCAGCTCCCTTTGTGGAAATTCCCGAGAACACTTTATGTGCGCTTAATCCCTTTGCTAATGTTCACCCGTCCCTGGTTCCTCACTCGAACTCAGCCTCACAGACTGCTCATGGATAAATTTACTTTATCATGTGTACATTTACGCTCAGAAATTTGGCCGTTAACAACAAAAGTTGTTCCTGTTTGAATTTCCTGGATTAGTAGCAGGTTACAAAATTCACAAAAGCGCGACTTGGAGTTTGCCTCTCATTGAGGTTATGGTAGGGCACCGGCTCCCACCTAATGCGATTCAACTGTTCTTCCAATAGCGCAGGGTTAGCGAGCGGATTCTCAGACATTGGTATGTGCGCGCGTCGTTAAGGGGATTGATGTCTTAACGCTCTCGTGTGCGCGCATAGCTACTTCAGCTGCCTTGGTGTCGGACTTCGTGCTCTGTTGCCGACCCAAGCGTGCCTTTATCGATTTCTCGCCGAGCGTGCATGTAATCTACCTCGACAGCGGTAAACTTGATAAAGTTGTTTCCTTACGTATACGTGCATCGAAGCTCGCGTTGTTGCTGGGTTTGCATGCTTTTTCTAAAGGAGGTCCAACTGCCCAACTCGCAGTGATGCCTCATTATTCATTTTGGCGGAACTTCTCGAACGCTATAGGACCCAAAATCAGCTTATGTTGGTTACTAAATTCGGGAGCACTCTTGGATTCATTTTCACGTTGATCTCGAAGAGCTGAAGGATTATCTGCAACGCGGACACCAAAAAACATTCACACACCCACCGGTTTGCTTGAGGTCGACACCCAAATTAGTCCCCTCTTTTGTCCTGACGATCCTAGTATAAGCTTCGCAACTACTTTCGTCTTCGAGCAACTTCAAGACCACAAACATTCTGAGGTGTCAGAATTTGGTGATGTGATACATGGCAATAAATTACTGCCTCGAAAACCTATCATAGGTATGCTGGCAATTCCTTGGCAGTGACTGCTTCATCGTGTTCATGAAAGTCTTCCACTAAATAAGTACGTGGAGGCATGCTAAATGGTTCAGGTTGCTCAACCGTAGGCCTCTGCATTAATATTGTTTTTCGAAGGTCGAGTATTTAACTTCCGGAGCGTTATTTTTTTGCTGTAGTTGACGCTAACCAATAAGCACCTTAGTTTGCACCACGTTCTACCATTATCTGATTTATGATAGGTCGCGACAAACAGATACTATTTTAGCTCTTTAACGCATTGGGACTTGAACAGTAGAAAATCCTAATGAGTGGGTTAACATGGTCGTGGCAGTGAGCCTTGTGTCCGCCGACTGGACTTTTTCCGTCAATCTGTTCGGTCAACCTATCGCACAGCGATTTCTTTCCATAGGTGCAAGTACTACTTCGGTCAAATAACATGTTCCTTCGTTAATAGATTCTTTTTAACATCTTTTTGGAAACATTGTGTTGAATTTATCTCAGCCCCTAGTGAACGACCGGCGGAACTAAGCTAATGATCCGCTGATACTAAGAATTATGATAAAACTTCATTAAATTAGTGATATTAGTCTCCGGGATATCATCAGAGCTCGATATGCGATTATACCTCTTAAACCACTGATGTTAGTTGACTGATTTTTTAATTGTCATCACTTTCTTCGATTATGCGTCATTGTTCCCGGTAGTTTCAGTCGATTGAAACCGTTTTACCAAAGTACACCATGCAAAGTCGTAAGTTTGACTTATAACCTGCAAATCGATTTGGTACCGATAGCGAGCCATGGGGCCTTTTTATTGAAATCGGTGGATACCTGTCAATTGAGCATGCCATGGTGGTATTTGTTTCAAAAACAGATGAACTCCACCCTGGGTGGATTCCGTTTTGATCTAATCACGTGCCTAGAAAGATATAAAGGCAAAAGGCACACGACGACTTGTTGTGTAGGCTTATTTGCGTTGCCTTTTTAATAAATCAGGCTGTGCCTTTTTTATTCTCCGCATTTGTTTCTACTCCCAACACAAGAAAGTGCTGACAATGTATGCAGCCATGTTCGCACTAGACAAGTGTGTAGAAGCGAGTTTCTTGCTAAAGCGGCTATGATCTGCTACTTGGTGCAAATCAGGGAGTGTCTGCCCTTTGTGCTGGCTGCTTGGATGGTCTGTACGCACTAGAATACATTGTCTCAGCCTCGTTTAGCTGTTGTGAGTAAATAAGTCTGCTTCTTGGGGTCCGAAAGACGGCGGATCCCCTCCCGTGAATCACCCCAGTGGTATTGGCCCTACGATAGACGAATGCAGACATCTGCTGCTGGCTCAGTCCAAAGTCGTCCTGGACCTCGTTTAAGTTGTGAATGTGGTCCCCATGGAATTAAAAATTAGTCCGATTAAGTGATCTAAATGTTAAGTTTGCGTTTAGGTGTCTCGTGTCACGCCCTAGATCAACTTAGTTTCATGTTGCTTATCTTTCCCATTCATATTTTCCTGAATCATGTTGTCTTTTATGACATTGACCCGAGGCCTCGCTTACGCCACTTAAAATGAAAGCAAACGCCCTCATTAGCCGCCTTGTTCTGGTGCGGTGTTTCAACGTTATTTGCTTTTACCTAAAATAATTCACTCCACAAGTTTATAGAGATAAACAAGCTTAAACACACGACCCTACTAATGCCCCTTTGTTTTGTCCTTTTTCGGTACTCGAACTATCTTCCATGCCTAATGGACAACTACCTCCTATTTTATGTTAACTAAACAATCAAATCGACAATGCTCAAAGTCCTTTACTTCATTGTCCTGCTCATTTAATTGGTCAATTTGAAGTTCTATGCCATTCGTATACTCGCTCAATTTCTGGCGACTAAAAATTTGTGGTGCAGCACTTTTTGAACTACGTCAGTAGGTTTTACTGG